TGCAAGAGATTTCACATCCCTCCCACACAAAAAACCACATGTTTAGATGGGCTGAGAAAAAGGACTTATTTGCATACATCTCCATCACTTGGTTGGCTACACAAATGCCTGCAGCTTAACTCTGCATATAGGTTTTGTTGTTAGTTGGCTTCTGCATTTCAGCTCATCACTTGCTGTATGAGAAAACTGCCATGTTGAGCCAATTTTCACAGCTTCTAGTGTCTTACATTGTAGAATACCACAGAAAATTCCAAGTACTTTTAATTGAATTAAGTGTTTTGTTATATTTCTATATCTGTGGTATTTCTCTGTTGTTGTTTTTAAAATCTAAGGATTTGTTCAGAGTATAGTTTTTGACAGTCAGTCAACTAAGTTGTAATATTTTGGTTAATCAAGGCCAATATAGCAAACATAAATAGACAAGTGCAAATGCCAATAAAATGCTTATGTAAATAGCCATATTCAAAAAGAATCTTCAGAATCAGTAATAACCCCACAAAGAATGCAGCCATGATTTCATCTCCTGTAGTTGCCTCCAAAATTTCAGTTCTTTACTATGATTATACAGAAACAACACTTTCACAAATTTACCAAAAAATATAAAATTGTATCCCACTAATTTATACCCTGTCACATGCTATTAAGAAGCCTCTAGGCAGCAACAATTAAAAACCATAAAATCCAATCAATGCAACAAACTAAAATCATACAAAACAGAAAACCAGCAGTATAAATGATTTACAGTGGCAAATTTTGATAAAGCATCAGACAGGTATGGAAACTTGCCCTTCCTGAAATTGTCTCTGGCTCAAGAATGCCAAATCTGATGGTAGACATCCTGGTGCAACAGTGTTTTTCCCCAGAAAAACTGGTCTCATCAATCTCTTATTTAAAAAAAAGAGCAAAGACCAACTTGTCTACTATGGTTCAAGTGGCCATCTGTAATTTCACACAAATGAGTTTTGCACATGCACGGAGCCACTCTTGGAACATTCCAGAGTTCGGTGATTTCAGCAGGAAGGTCTGTCCCCACTCCTTCACTTGACCCACTCAAGCATGCCTCAGTGATTTTTCCTCAGTTCTGTCTCTGCCATAATATAGGCCAAAGTACAAAGGGGGAGAAAGGAGGTTTGTGTGAATTTACAGATGACTTCTCAAAGAACCACAATTATAATTAAGTAGCCTGTTCTACTTTATCATGAGTGATTTGCACACTGGCTCACCACCAGAGGATGATTCACATCAGGACAACAGAGATAACAGAACAGCACAGACAGAAGAGGCACTAGTTGTTGTCTGCACATCTAAATGATAATGTGAGATGAGAGTAGAAGGTTGTGACCAAGTTGCTGTTTGCTCAACTCATGTAGAGGGATGCCCTTCAAAAAGGCTATAGAAGTATGCATTCTAGAAGAATGTGACCTCCTGGACCTTCTGAATTGAGAAGATGAAGGAACTCATAGGTGAGTAAGGTAATTTGCACTGTCCAAACTGAAATCATTTGGGAGGAAAATGGAAAACTTTTCTATGGTTCACAATATCCCACAAAGAACCATGGGTGAAAGGACATTGTCCAGCTGACAGAGAAGGCCAGCAGCCTTCTTACACATAAGGAATACAATGCTCTTTTTGACAGTGGTGAGGGCTTCTGCATAAGCATCAGCAGTGTCAAGTCTTGCTGAAGATGAAAGGTAGAAATCATCTTTAGGACAAATGAGATATCAGGATGCAGTACCACTTTAACTTTATGGGGAGGAGATAGGGATGATCAGCATGGGGAGCTGTTAACTGTTCTGCACATCTGGCTGCAATCACAGCACCTAGATCAGGGGTAGGCAACCTTTCCCCTTTAAAGGCCGAGGGACTTCAGCTCCCAGAATCCCAGGAGATATTGGTCAATATGGGACTATTGGCCAACATGGCTGAGGCTTCTGGAAGCTCCTTCAGCCCTTAAAGGGGAAAGGTTGCCTACCCCTGATCTAGATTATCTGAAGAAACACATTCTTCCATATGTCTGCCCATGTTTTGAGACCTTCTAGGAAATTCCTTCTGTCTTTTCTACCATCTTCATACATAAATATAGTGGGAACACCAGAGAAAGCTTTTTTGGTGGCTGCTGCTAAGCTTTAAAACTACCTTCCTAGAAAGGTTAGAGTGGCATCCTCCCTGCTTTTCTTCCATAGGCAGGTGAAGACTTTTGTTTGTTTCAGCAGGACTCTTGAGGCTGATTGCTTAGGAAGAAATAGCCTTTTATAATGTGCTTATTTGTTTCCCTCCCAATAGTCTGCTTTTTATTCTATTTACACTTTATGTATGTGAGCCAGCATGTGTAGAGGTTTGAGCACTGCGATATGACTCTAGAGACAGGGTTCAAATCCCTGCTCAGTCATGGTAACCCACTGGGTAACCTTGGGCAAATCATACCCTCTCAGAGGAAAGCAAAGGCAAATCCATGATGAACAGATCTTGGCCAAAAAAAAAAAAAATCTCCTTATGGCTTTAGGGTTGCCAGAAGTTAAAAATGACTTAAAGGTACACAATAACAAATATTCTTAACTTTTGTATGATGTGAATTTTTTATCTGCATCTATTTTAACTGTTATAAGCTGTCTTGAATCCTAGATTGGGGAAAAGGCAAGAAATGAATGAATGAATGAATGAATGAATACACAATTTTTAAAGTAAGCAAACACAACTCAATTGTTGCTAGGTAGTTAAAGTGGGATTTTGGCATTTGAGCTAAAACAACTGAGAGGGATCATGGAGAAACATTTCTTGGCAGTGGGTACAACTTTTAAGAACTTCTTCACCAGAAGGTCTAAGAAGAGGGATTTCTTAGCAGTACTGAGTCCAATCTTCATGACAACAAACTCTTAGGGAAGATAAACACAGGCCAGACATCTTGAAATATAATAGAACATTTAACACATGAAGGACATAGGCCTCTTCAATGGACAGAGCAGGAAGGTTAGGAACCGATCCCATTTTACTAAGTATGAGTAAAGAGCAAGAGGTTCCTTGAAGCTTGTTTAGTAAACAATAGATCTTGTAGAGGAGGCTGTTGCATTCACAACATTAACCTGTCATTGGGGGAGCAGTTTCACTGTGCCCAAAGAAAATGTCAAAACCAGAGGACTGACACCCAGGACATATGTAAATTCAGGACATATGTAAATTCATATAGTTGCAGTTAAGACTTGCGTGTCTGCAGGTGGTGCGAGTGAAAATGGTTCTGAGACAACAGCCATGCATTTCATAGGGCTTTCTTAGATAAGGAATACTCAATAGTTTTATTAGTTCCTTCCTTTGAAATACAGCCTATAGCATCTGGTATTCATTGGTGGTCTCCCATCCAAGTACTAAGTAGAGCTGACCTTCCTTCGCTCTTAGATCTAGTGCTTTTAGGGTGTTTTGTTAGGTTTAAATGGGATATAGAGTCAATGTTAAAATGTTGA